GGTTAGCATCAGTTCTTGAAATGCAACTGGTACCAGAAATGCAAAATTTGACCTCAGAAGCTACGAGCAGTACCTGCAGTATGTCGGATGAATGTGCCAAGCAGGGGAGTTCAAGAGGGTTAAATTTGATACGGTAACATTTTCGCATCCGGTAAATTCCACTAGATGTGGTCGGCTATAATTCAAGGCATGATAGCTGAATTGTTCCCACCAGACGGAACCCTGTCCATCAATGGTTCCATTATCACCTGGTAAAATTTATCGAATGTGGAATGAGTTACGTACAAGGCAGAACTCAATATATGTCAGCAGACAAGCATTTTTTAAGGATGAAATCCTCACCTGTTACTATCACATCTGTTAGATTGTCTCCATTGATCAAGCTACGATATCTCCAACCCGGCAAGTCAATCCCTCGACCATAAGAAGGCAGGGGTTCCACAGTTTCCCAGTGAGTGTAATCCTGCATAAGCATTGCCAACACCGAGTGTTTTTTACAATGTGGGAAAGTTTCTATTGGAACAAAGCAGAGAAAATTTTTGGTTATGGAAATGATTTCCACACGCCCTTTTCTCCCACCTTTGAATTGATAAAAAATCAAATGACATGAATAAACCACGGTGCACAGAAAGAAAAAAAGTGTGCGGAAATAAATTTTCCTTTGCGTTATATGTGAACCTGGGATCCAAGAATGATGGCGCCAGATTCCAGGAAGAGCGTGAGGTGGCTGGTGAGGTTAAAACTTCCGGTAAGCCACTTTCCGGGCGGAACATAGAGCTGAGCACCGCCCTTGTCAGCAAATGACTTGACATAGAAAATAGCATTTTGGAACGCGACCGTGTTCAATGTTTTCCCGTCTCCAACTGCTCCAAACTCCAAGAGTGACACACTGTGAGGTCTTGGATCGAAAAGCTTCTTCCTTTCGCATTCTCCGTCCTTCCCTTCTCGATCATACTGAGCAGCACTAGTAAATGCCAGAATCAAAAGCAGAGCCAACTGGAATATACGAAAACAACAGACAATTAACCTTGGACGGAAGTAAGAGATGTGCCTACAAAAATCCTGCAACCAAAACTTAGTAGAACACCAAGAAAAACACACTAAAATCGAAACCTTAATCAATGATGCAGAAAGCGCAAACGTAAAAATCAATGATATAGAGAGCAAAGAAGATACTAAAGTACACAGCATTCGATGTCCGAAGATCTTGACAATGTAGGCAAAACAAAGAAGCAATCTAATCTGAGAATTATGAATTCATAAACATCGTACGGAAATCCCATATACAATGTAAAAACCAACAATCACTGGATCAAAAAGATCATTTTTTGCAGATTCCCGGATGATGAAAATTAAAAACCAACATACAAACACATGTATATATGAATCAAACACCAGAAATCAAAACCAACGTACTTACTAGGCTCTTCATTAGTCGTTTGCCCTTCCACTTAACAGAAAATTACCAAATGACCAAACTCAGAGAGCAGCAGGCTCTAAAATCTCTGCAAAAACCCAGTAAAAATGTGAAACGAAGGGAGGAAGAAGAAGTGAGAAGGATCAAGTGAGAGGAGGGTTTGGTGTATAAAATTATAAATTGCCAATGATGTACATGAAAACAAAAAAACAAACAAAAACAAACGGGTGGTGAGAGAAAACGACAGCTTAAAAAAAGTAAAAGCCAGCTGAAATTTGCAACTTGCGTAACAATAAAAAGCATTTTCCACGCATCAAAGTTGGAAAGTGCAAATTTGAATAATATATATATATATATATTTTTATCTTTTACAAAATCTTCGACATAAAAAGGTAATCTTGTTCCTTAAACAAATTTAGTAATTTAATTAAACCTCCACAATTCCCAACACAAAATCCTGTCTTGCCGACACAATCTTGGCCCCAAAAACCCTCCATGCATCCATCACAGACACAAAAACACAGTCAAACTCTGTGTAATTAATACGAGAATTTGATTGGTGTGAAGATATCTGAAACTAATTATCTTTTAATTTCTACAAATAACAATGAGTGAATTGTGATTGTTTGGTAATAAAGATGTAATGTATAATTTGGTTTGATGAGATACCATGATGGTGACATACTAAATTACTGGAAGGCATAGACTTGCTTGTTGGGTGCACTGCGCACGGTGGTGGGGGCGGAGGGACCATAATGTCATTGAAGCGGCGATACTACAAGGCTGGCGTCAGCCCAAGATGCCAAAGCGCCAGACCGCAACCACTTGTGCCGCCATGTGTAGGCCACCCTCGTCGGCTCCTCCTCCTTTATGAGTGTTTGTCAGCCCCTCTTGCCGCTGCTTCTCCTCAGAGTGCTGAATTTATTCCCTCATTCCTCCTCCTCCTAGTATCAATTATGAGACTGTCATCAAATCAAACACTTCAACTGATGACACACCTTTTACGAACACGTATTTGTTTTCTTTTTTAGTTTTAAGTTTTCTCCGAGGACTTTGTGTTGTTTTACCAAAATCTGCGGCGCCATTTGTTCCACGCCTAATGGCTTATTAATCTGTCAATGTACAATGCCTGCTATTCACTCACTTTGTTACAACATCACATGCCACACATTCTGAGCACTTGTCTTTGGTGAAAACGCATTTAAAATGATTGAAAATGTTTTTATTGAAAACGCTTTAAAATGATTGAAAATGTTTTTAGTGAAAACGCAAAAAGTACATGCTTCGTGTTTTTAAAATCTAAAAACATTTTATCTAAAAACGCTTTCAGTTGCCAATGATGAATTTGATACCTAATTGTGCTTGAAGTTTAACAATAGTCTCAAATTTGACTCCCACATATACAAATACGTGATAACGGTGCGTTTGATGATCCACGTTTAACAGTTTGGTGATTTGTTCATTACCTCGTTGTAATTTGTTTTTATAAATATCCGGTAGTTGTCGAAAAGCAAAAAAGAAGGGATTGGCATCAAATTGCTGGAGCTTATCTTATCAGAAGCGAAGCTGTAAGTGCTTCTGGTTGTAGAAAAAGGCTGACGATAACGATATGTTTTTGAGCATATTGACAAAAAAACCCTTGGATAAAGGACGCAATCACATGGGTAACCCGCGGCGGCGGCCGTGGAGGAGGGGAACAAAGAAAACCAGCTAGCAATCGCCACCTAGAATTTAAATTGTTTGGCTGCTAACTAGAAACGGCCAATATATATATATATATCATAAATTCATAAATATTCATATTACATAGGAACTTAAGCAAAGCAACAAGCTTTAGTACTTTAAACACCTAATTTCAATTAATTAAAGCTCTTTTTTTTTCCTCCTTTTTTTTTTCCTTCTTTTTTTTTTCCTATTTTTGTTGATTTTTTGTTTGTTAATTTGTGAAGGCTGAGAGCCTGAGAGGGACAAATTGCAAAGACATGGGGTCAATGGGGTTGGTTGATTTCATTTAGTTAATTTTCAAAGACCGTAACTTTGCTTTTGTGATTAGTGAAATGGAGCCCGGTGTAGTAGTTTTGTGTCTCTCAATTCTTGTAGAGCACTATGAGTGTTACTGGGCAGCAGTAGTAGGGCATCATAACTGCAGGAGACGGGTCGAGGGTCCCCCGTTATGAGAAAAAATTTCTATGTATCTGGAAAATGCCACAATGACGATATCTCAAGTCAATAATGAATGGTTAAACACGGGAACAAGTGATTTGAGAAATCATCGTCGTGTCTTTTACAGATAGGTAAGTTTGATCTACCTCATTAGGTAGACAGTGGATTCTCAGTTACAAGAAGTCTTATCTCCAATAACAAAATTACAGACTGAAAATACATGAGATAATAACAAGTACTAATTATCAGTTGAAGAGTTGGGATTCATCTCCAACTCAGCATATTCGAAAGAAATAATGCAGCAGTGATAATGCTTGGTTGTTGTCGTCGTCTTACCTTTAAAGACTTAGTTTTCCGACTAATTAACGATGCACAGCGAACCAAAGAAAGCCATCGTATCTGAAGTACCACAGATAAACATTTTCGTTGACAGAAAACTTTTGCCTTTTGACAACACCGGTCCAGTACTTGGTTAAACAATATATAGTAATTTCCATTCTCAACCAGGTTGACCAAAAAAAAAAAAAAAACAGATCCATAGAAGACGCAACAACCACGGATCTTGTGGGTGGGATTTCTATCTTTAACAACTTAACAATAAGATTTTGTCTTCCATTCAACACATTGTGCTCGGTTTCGTTGAAAAAAATTTGGATCCAAATGCAGTAAGAAGTTTGTTTTTAATACCTTTTTTGAGACAACAACAATCGATCGAAGGGTTGCGATTTCGGAACATCATTTCCCAGCTTGTAACTCTTAATTTCTTCAGGCGATCGACGCAAAGTCCACCATCTTCGAATTCTGCTCGAGGTTTGAGGTTGAGAACAATTCCTTATTACTTGTCAGAGAAAGATTGAGCAATTAAAGCTTTAATGTGAATTTTCTTTTCTAATCTATATTATGTAAATTACCAGTACACCCTACACATTTTGAAAGTCTACACCTTTGAAAGTCATTGTTTACAATAGCTTTCTGCAGAGACGGAGCAGTGGAGGTTCTGCAAATCACAATGAGGAAGAAAATAGATTGATATTTTAAAATGACCTGGCCAGAACTAGGTCGTTTTGAGCCAAAGTTATTAAGAAACATAAAACCACAGCAATGTGAGAGATCCTCTGCATAATATAATACAGTATATGAAAAAAGTGTGGACAACTTCTTCAACCACAACTACTAAATTTATTACCGATCCTCGTGGTATTTCTTTAATTCCTATACTTGTTTATCAGCTACTTCCTACGATTCCCGTAAACTGCTCAATAAGGTATAAATATACCTATTTCTGAAGTTTTGTTTTCAAATACTGGAACTGCGCTTCAAAAATATTTGCCCAAAATCTCCATTTTAAGCTCGTCTTCCCTTGTCTTCCGTACTCTTAAAAAAGCTATCACACTCTCTCTCTCTCACACACGCGCACACACACACATACACACATACTGATGTCGTTCAATCGGTTGTTCGTATTTTTAAGATATCTGTCTTCATGCGTTGTTTCTTCTTTGATTTCGAGTATTTCTCAAACACCTTATTTTTAAAAATTTAGTGTGTTGTGTTGCATAATCTACATGCATGCATGTGAAATTGAGAATTATTATTTTTGTTTATCTAACTTTTTGAACATGGATAAGTGAAAAGTTGTGTTGTTTATATTAATCACATTGCATTTACTTGAAAAAAGAAATCGCATTGCATTTATCAGTTGTGACTGATATATGAATGAAAGATAATTTAATTAAGTTGGTTTTTGTATGCATTTATCAGCATGTGGTCCAATATCCTAATGGATAGAGTGTTGAATTTCTATCCATGCTTCCCAGGTTCAAAACTCTTCCTTCTCTGCTTATTGTAAAAGTTTTGAACCCACCTCTTCCCTTAATAATAATAAATTAAATAAAAAAACATCTACTTAATAACCACTAAAGAACAACTCAATTAAGTTCTTATCCTCGCTCCGCCATTGTATGCTTGTGTTCCCTCATGGGGAACCTAGTTATCCCCTCACACATGATAACGCATCTTCATGGTACAAATATCGTAATCGAAACCGTTCATTCTTTTTATCTTCATCTAACTATCATATACTGTTTTGTATACTATATTAGATATAGATATGCTAATGCTATATACACAATACATATATATACAACACACACACACACACACACACATATATATATATATATATATGTTTTTTGCATGCATGCACGCCAGAAATGAAAGGCATACATTTCAGGCGATACAACTTACAAGAAGATTTAACATGCTGAATCAGTGTATTTGATTTTATTAGACATGCATTTCGGTAATAATTGTCACGTTGTTGAAGGAAATTTGAGAATGATTTCATTGATTCAATAATAGCTAGATAGAGCATTCTAGTACGTGTACAGCTCACAATAATAGTGATAAGCTAACTTAATCTCCGTCATTAGCTTAAGACTAATGTAACAAACTGTAAAAAACTAGTAATAACTATGTTACTAAATCTAACCCTCCAACTGTAACAAACTGTAGAATGAAAAATTTAACTATCCGATTTTACCATTCCGCTAATGTTATAACACATAGATCTATACATTCTATTCTAGATATTTGTTATGGTGTCTATTAACACATAGATTAACAACACTGTCATAGTATCACCGTCACACTAAAAAATTTTCCCAAATTTTGAACCAATCTAGAGTATTAGTTTGAGAAGGTTCATTTGAATCCATATGTTTTGTGTCTCTATGCCGAACTAATTAAAGCTTTAATGTGATTTTTCTTTTCTAGCCTACGTTATAGAATTACCATTAAAGACAACATGCAATGAAAATGAAAATAAAAATTTATCAATACAACCTACACACAATGGCGGAGTTAGGAAATTTTTATCGGGTGGACTAGCTTAAATACTTAAATCTTTTAAACAAAGAAACTTAATACTGTATTTTTCAAAGTATGCTCTAGCTTACGAAAATTTCACAAGGTGAGTTGAGAATTTTCGTTATTAAACAAATATGTGTTAAAATTTAAACAAATCCAAACTTGTACATGTACAAAAAGCAATGAGAAAAAGGATGTAACAAAAATAGATGGTTTGTAAACTGTAGTATATAATTTTATATAATTAATTAAACAAAAAGAATTAAAATTAGTGACTAAATATATAATGAGTTACATTCGAAAATCAATAAAAATTACATGTAAAATATTAATTTTTTTTATTTTTATAAAAAGCTACCTAGGCTATAGTCCAGGGTAGCCCTACAGATTTGAAGGTCATTGGCTCTCTGCATGTACAATACATGCCGTGTGGAAAACTTCGTCAACTACAAATACTAGTAAATGCATAATTAACCGAGCCGAGCCAAGTCGTCTTTCTTTAATTTATCCAAGTAAAGTGCTCAGTAAGTTTATAAATATACCGCTTTCTGAAGTTTTGTTTCCAAATACTGGAACTGCGCTTCAAAAATCTTAGCCCAAAATCTCCATTTTATTTGCTTGTCTTCCTTACTCTTGTTGCATATATATACAGCGCTAGCTACAGACAGGTAAAACATCTACCTCTCTCTCTCTCTCTCTCTCTCTCTCTCTCTCTCTCTCTCTCACTCTCAAGTTGATGTTGCTCAGTCGGTTGTTTATATTTCCTTTTAAGATATCTGTCTTCTTGCATTGTTATTTGTTTCTTCTTTGATTTCGAGTATTTCTCAAACAGCTTGGTTTAAAATTTAAGTGTGTTGTGTTGCATAACCTACATGCGTGCATGCATGCATGTAAATTACTTTTTATTTCTCTAACTTTTGAACATGGATAAATTAAAATATGAATGAAAGATAATTAATTTGGTTATTTGTTTACATTAAGGAAACTAATTAATGTACCCACACTATTGAAAATGGTGTTGTCCTGCGAGTTCGAATATGATAAACCAAGCG